CACCTTCCTCTTCGCCTGATGATATGCAAGGGGTTTTTTCACACATTTGGATCAAATTCTCAAACCTTCCACTCATGTATTAGGATCCCTCTAATATTATTTGAATGACCACTAAAGTGGGTGAACCACTATGGATGGACAAATAATGACCTTTATAGAAGAAAAAATGATTATATATATATATATATATATATATATATATTCACAAAGCTGCCTTCATTGCATTTTTTAATCAAAAAAGATTACTGAAATATGCTTTATTCTTTTGGGCATCCTTTTGGACATAATGATGGAAGTGTATCTTATAAGGGATGCATTAATCTCAATATTTTTTAATGATAGATGTTCATGCAATTGCATGAAACATGGAATTAACTTATAGGAAATACTTGAATATTTCAAGTAAACCCTAACAAGATTGATAACAACATCAAAATATACTCAACAATTCCAATGAAAGCAACCAAAATAGTAGATTTTATTATAGGAATCAAATTAATGGAAGGAAAACAAAGCAAAGATACAATTAAACCTCAATTCGAAAGGAGGATCGTTTTCTCCAAAATCTCTAGATGAATTCTAGAGCCCAGGACACCAAGAAGAAACTCCAAGAGAACACAATAATCAAGCATAACCCTAACTATAGACAATTCCTATTTAATACAGACTTCCCTAATTTTAAATTATGAATTCAAATTTTTCTTTCCTCTCCTAACCGCCCCTTACTTCTTTCCGCATTGGACTGCCCAGTGGGCCCCTAGGCTTGGGGGGCAATTTTCCCCCAAAAGGGATCCGTCTCCTATAGCATAGAACCGGTCCTGCAAGGGCCGGTTCAGCTTGAACCGGCCTAACATTAACATGTACTGGCAGCTATATAATTCCATTTCAAGAGTATCTCTGGTCTGTATTTAGTTTTATTAATTACATTTGATATTATCAAGTGATCGATTTTTTTTTTTTTTTGTGCAGCTGATTCTGAACAAGGTTCTCATGATGGGCTCAAGAACCGAGACTATCATTGGTAGGCCTATATTAACTGAAGCTGCTGTACATGCCGTTGTTGAAGAGCATGTAAGACTTTATTTTTTTTCCCTCTCTACACCAGTGACATAAAGCTTAGGATATATATATATAT